GTCATCACCACCCACAGCCAACTTTTGGGCTACTCTTTTACCAACGAATAGCGGGATTGACCGTCACATAATAACGCCCCCACGGCTGAAAGGGCGAGCATGTTTGGTGTGACGGGGATTCGAACCCGCGACCCACAGACTGCGAGTCGAGCGCCCTACCCACCTGGCCATGCCGGGCCTGATCTTTAAAAATGTTTGGCCATTCGTGGCTTATTGTTTAAAATGATTGAACTGTGAATTTAACGTGCAAAATAAATTTAGGGCAGTGAGTGCGCTATAACGGTGACGTTAAAATACTACTAGCACAGTCAGAAAATATTAGCCCAAGAGTTGGCGGTAGGTGATATTGACTAGCTGCCTTCCATATAGTCTACCGGTTCATAATTAGGAGTAACTATGCACAAATAACCCTTGTATAGTTTTGTGTGAAAATTTTCAATATAACAAGATTATAAATATTTTCGTCGGAGAATCAACACAAAAGACCAAGAACTATTTCATGGCTTTAAGACAGGAATAGATTAGTGTTGAAACAGTTTCAGAATAACTTTGGGATACTTAAGACAGGAACAGATTAGTGTTGAAACAGTTTCAGAATAACTTTGGAATGCTTAAGACAGGAACAGATAAGCGCTGAAACAGTTTCAGAATAACTTTGGAATGCTTAAGACAGGAACAGGTTAGCGCTGAAACAGTTTCAGAATAACTTTGGAATGCTTAAGACAGGAACAGATTAGTGCTGAAACAGTTTCAGAATAACTTTGGAATGATTAAAACTTAACTTTTCTGGTTAAAATGAGAAACAAGAAATGTTTAGAATCATGTTAAACAATTGTTGATTTTTTTGTATATTATTTTTCTTAGTGTGAGAAAGAACGAATTGTAGAGGATTAACCTGTATGCATAAAAACAACAACAAAAAACTACAATGCATATGAAGAGAACTCTTGTAGACATCGAGACAACCAGGTAGTGTGTCATGCGGCCAAAACAACCTGCATGTCACACTGTGTA